TTTCGGAGCAAGTTTGAATTCGCGCTCTTAATCGGCGGACCTGTTGAAGCAGAAGATTTTTGGTTTTTGCAGGAATGGGATCGATAAAGCAGGAATGACAATTTGCGTCCTCTATAGAAAATGAAACGTGACCTAAAAGAAGAAGGTGATTGTGTGTGTGTGTGTGTGTGGGGTGGGGGGGGGGGGCTGAGGTTTCCGCTCAAACGACATCCATTTTTCTTTTTATTCCAAAACGATGTCTAGCTTGCCTTGTAAGCCACCTGTGCCGAGCCCTGTGTCGGAATCTCCGCAAAACGCAATGCAACTGAGTTGAAACGCGCTACCTGCAGAACAGTTGTGCGCAGTGATTCTAACACAATTCCAAGTTTTACTCCTTCTGACTCTTCGTCAAATCAAATATTAGGTTGTCCCATAAATGCACGTTTTTCTAACCTTGTCTCGAAAAAGCTGACTCTCAAAGAAAAACCATTTTTCACCAGTGTTATTTATAGTGCCTGAAAGCCCGATTCTTCTAGTTTTTACGTGAGCTTTCTTTTCGCAAATCGTTGTTCAAACCGGAGTTCCTTGCCTCAAAGACAAGCTTTCACTCCTCCCTGCTTTAAATCCATGAAAAGTTGATGGATATTCTTGAAAAAAAAACAATTGCTAAGTTCTGTGCTACAGGACGTTTGTCATCGCTAGATTTTTGAGGAATCCTAAGCCGAGAAATCTTTCTCAAACTTGACTGTTCGCTGACGCTCATCTATGCTGCATAAAAATTTCAGGCTAAAAGCGATTGGATAAATTTCATTATGTGCACCTAGAGTGGACCTGGTACAACTAATGCTAGAAAAACGCCAGAATTCCTCGACTTACAAAATAAAAAAAAACCCAGAAAGACAGTTTTTTTGGCGTCCAAAATGCTGAAAAAGTGGGTGCTTTTGATTTTTTTGCAAAATTTTCTCATAGAAAAGTACCGTTAAGGCCAAATTTCACTCGATTGTACAACCGACCTTCAGCTATTACATGACCAAAGTTAGCACGATCCTGGTATATTCGAGACCGCAGCAGGCGGTCCGCAAACTCGCGTTTTTCTGCAGGCAGCCAGCAGGATTTTGGTGCTTGGCTAAACCTTCAGCGGGCGGCACTTCCTTCACGGTCGCACATTCTGCCAGCGGGCAGCAATACAGCATTTTCTGCAAACGCTCGGCAAATAACTTCTTTAGCGAGCGCGGACCAAACTTTCAGCAAGCCTCGGACTCTTTTTAAGCAGTTTCAGGCATACGACGAGCGCAGGTAAGACTCTCTGTGGCGAGATGTCACCGTTGGTTTAATTACTCAAGTTTGAGATACTTTCTCTCAGCGTGCCTGGGGCTGCGCGGTCCTCCACAAAGGACCCTGTGGCCCCGGAAATTTTGCATATTCTTGCGGAAAGTCGCGAGAATGCGGCCACTGCGCCGCAGCGCGATTGTTCTCCAAGCATTCGTCCAAAGTTTCGCTAAAATTCATCCAAATATCTGCAAGCGGGTCGCAAGAAATTAGCGAACTATTTTTCCGGTACCCGCCCGCTCATAAATCGCATGGCCGCCTGCCCCCGGCGATTATCTGAGTTAGTGCTCTTATTTTTCCAGATTGCTTTGGTATCAATTTATTGTCTCCGGAGGGTGAAATGCATGGTTGGCTCAGGGTAGGGAATCGAACCTGTGTTCGACCTGATAATAGTGGCGCCTCATACCACTACACCATTTGTTCCGCCCTAGTTGACTGAAGGCCGCATGCATTAACATCCCCCCGAGGAGCGGGGATCGCAGCTTTGAAGAAAGCTTCAAAACCTAAAGCTCCGAACTTCTGGATTTCGCGCTGTCTACCTATTATTAAGTATTCCTACCATTTTTCACTATGAACATATTGAACAGGAGCGAGAAGCTGAGCCGCATTTTCCAGCTTTTTGTATGATCTCGAAATCATTCTCGGCGGCTGAGCGTCTTTTATTCAAAGTCATTATTCTTTCTTCAAAGTTGACGAAAACCTTCGTTGTACTGTATCTAACAACAGTGCTGAGCATGTTGCCGATAGGAATAAATGAGTTTTCGGAAAATCGAATCTTTCGATAAATCCTACTTTCGGCTTGTGGTTCATCGCAATTTTTATGACTTCGATAATCATTTGTTCTTTTCACCAACATTCTAGACAATGTCGGGTTAGATAATCTGTGCAACTTTAGAAGCTTTTCGTTGAGTTCAAAGAAGGAGAAATGACTTTGAAGAGAAGACGGTTGGCCGCTGGGGATCATTAAGGGATCATACTGAAGCTGGAAATGCGATTTGTACAGCTTCTCGCTCCAGTTCAATATGTTTGTGAGGGATGATAGGAATACTTACGGGTAGACAGACAGCGTGAAATCCAGAAGTTCGGAGGTCCAGGATATAAAGCTTTCTTTGAAACTGCGATTCCTTTCTTGGCGGAATGTAATGCATGCGGCCTTCAATGAAAATTCTTCGATCCAGTAGTTTTCTAAAACAGTGTGACTCCTCATGCTTCAAAGCAAAAAATATACAATTTTTACACATAAGTTGCAGCGTCTAGGTGTAGCAGATGTTTCTTTGAAGCTGTAGTTGTACAAAAATTTTAGGTGTAAAGAGCGCGGTAGTGCTCAAGACAAGAGGTGGCCTTGTATTAGTTTGATACATAATTCCTACACCAAAATAGGTACAAACCGCAATAATACATATCTCTTCTATACTCTAAAAAATTCCTGATATAACTTTCGATCAGTGGCGGTTCGAGGGTGGGGGCGGAGCGGGGGGAAGCGGCCCTGAAAATTGTTCGCGAAATTTTTGAAAGTTGCTTATACGGGCTATAAAAATGAGCAAGTGCTTGTCTATAATTTTAAGTAATTAAAATAATTTTTAAAATTTCGAAAAATTCAAATCAGCCTTGTAAAAAATTCCTTTTCAAGGATCCCAATCGGGATGCTAACGCCACGCCTTTCACTCAAAAAAAAATTCTTCCCCCCCCCCCCCCGTTGGGTCCGCCACTGCTTTTGATGGAGCAAAGCTAGCTCTACAAGATAGTGCTCAAAGTTTTGCAGCAACTTTGATCCAAGCGAAGATTGAAGCCAAAAGGAATGAGATCCTAGCGCCCCAAAAACCAATATGAAATTGGAAGTCAAAGTTCAAAAAAATCCATCAAAAATTCTAACCTGCTCATGCATCGTCATTTAGTATAAAACATTCCTCTGCGCACTTGCTGTATTTTTCTTTCAGCTAGAGATTGAAGAGTTTTTCATGTTTTTTTTTCAAAACATCGCCGAGGTGTTTAGCACTGCACTGACGGTTGCTACAGGACTCCAGAAGCATAATTGTGAATTTTCAGCTTTTTACAGCAGCTGGTTTACGAGACATATCGAATTTCAAGAAACTAGGCAAGGTAAATCCGGTTAAGGAGAGCTAGAATCGATATTTCTCGTAAACTAGTTCTTCTAGAAGACTGAAAACGTGAAGTTTTACTGCTAACGGCATGTACTAAGTGTTAGTGCTAGAACATCTCAGCATTGTTTTGGAAAAAAACATGAAAAACTTCGTACTCTCATCGTCTAGCTGACAAAAAATACAGCAGTTGCATAAATGTCTTACATGGAACGCTTACGCTTGGGCAAGCAAGAACTTTTATTAAGTTGTAAAGAAAGTTCCGGGGCACTTTTAAAAATTCCATTTTTAAACGCATTTTTTGGAGCTCGGTCGGACTTTGACACCAAATGTTGTACAGTGTTCAGTGAGCGAAGCGTAAACTTTTCAAAACTGCTTCTGATTTCTATCGATGCCAAGACGTGTTTGACCTGCACATCAAAAAAGGAAATCTTTCCAAACATAAAAATTTCGCAATTTTTCTTCCTTTGCCCATTTTTTTGTGCAATTCAAAGAATTTCGTCCAAATTATGAGTGATCTGATTAAGGAACCTGTCAACTTCTGATCCGCAGCTGCACTCGAGTTTTGCGATTTCTACTCAAAAATTACAAGCTGTCGAAGTTGCCTCTGACTGCAACTCTTTTCGCAGCTGACATCGCTTCCGCAGAGTCGTCGCGCCTGAGGGATGGATCCAAAAGATGTGTAGACATTACCTCAACAATGTTCAGTAATCAACGATTTGGTCCACCCTATGCGAAACGAAGGACTTTAAAGTTATTTGCTCGGAAAAATGGTGCATTTTTAGGGACAAAAATGGTCGATTTTTCAAACTTCCTGGAAAAAATCTTTTTGTAGGTGGTCCCTCAAAGACATGAACGTCCTCATAACAGCCCCAGAAAACTTCTATATAACTACAGCATCTGGGGTCTTCAGCTCTTATTCTGCCTGAGATAATCCTGCACAAATAGGCCACTTTTCGCGTCGACCTTTTTCCTTTCTGCGCATGCAAGTGGACCGCTATGAGGTGCTGAAAAGCTAGCACGACAAGGATATGTTGTAAACGAAATTCTCTTTGCAATAAAATTTGTAGCTCCGAAAAAGGATCAATCTGCTCGAAGATATGGCGATTTGAAAAAAAAATTCGCAAGTGCCCCGGAACTTTCTTTACAACCTAATAGGAGTTTTTAGAACCGGAGTTTCAATATTGTTTCGATTTGGCTTAGGGTATTCGGGCGCATGCTTTTTTTCAGCTTTCGGCTTAAAACTTTGCGTGGATTGAAGCTGTGTGGATATTTGCACCATCTTGTAGAGTTTGGTTTGCTCTATCTAATGATATATCAGACCTATTTAGAATAAAGAAAAATTCCAGATTATGGCGGTCTTTACCTATTTTAGTGCAAAAAATGCAGCAGCATAATAGTTCTGATCAGCCTCTGGGAAAGGCTTCTTTCAATTTCTATTTTTCACCGGCCATTCAGTAGAAATGAGGGCAGTTTTTGGTCAATGTTAGAACGATGGCTACACGCAAAACAGTGTTTTTTAAACAATTTCATTTATGACAGGACAAATTAAAAATCGACGCAAACGTCACTTAAAACTGAATTGCAATTCAGAGTTCACCCAAAAAGGATGACCTTTACTCGATTGGGCTCACATGCTCCGTGGATAAGTTACGCGCTGCAGGTAAGTCAGGCAATAAACTTTTAATTATACCCAAACTTCCCACAGTGGTGCTTGAAGATCTAGCAAGAAGATTCACTATGTTGCTAATAAGTAAAGCTACCTAACCCAGCTCGGGCTTTTGGTAAAAGGCATATATAATCTGAATCAGCTCCAAACGCTAATTTCAACAATGCTATTCCTAGCTGCCACGCACCATTCCGAAGCGGGGTATGGGCTTTTTCCTACACAGATTTGACATACTACTGAACATGAGAAGACTGCCTGTAGATAAAAATCTGCAAGATGAAAGTGCTGAGGTATCGAATACAAATCCAATCTTTTCTCACTGGAAAAAGCTTAACGCAGGTGTATCAGCACTTAAATGATGATGACGTGATGCCCCGTGAGTTGATTAGCATGCCAATTTTGCGCAGGAAAAAGCCCATAACTCGCTTCGGAATGCCACAGCTAGGAATAGCATATTTGGAATCAGCGTTTGGAGCTGATTCAGACCATATATGTCTCTTGCCAAAAGGCCGAGCTAAGTTAGGTAGCTTCCCTTGTAAGCAGGATACAGCGTGCGCGTTATATCAGTTTATTTAATGTTCATGAGAATCAATGCCTTCCATGTTAGTAACGCTTTCGGATTTGCTTTGTCTGGTATCATAAACCGAAGATCAAAAATGAGAAATCCGACAAAGACAATTGGCAGACGAAGGCGCAAGACCAGTGTGGTCTAGCTAATTGGGGTTTCCAGCTTGCGGTTTCTTCTTTAACGGGAGAACGCGCGTGCTGCAACAGTCAGATCATAGCTCACAGCGACTCTGCTGTCCTTAGCAATGTGTTCCACCTCTTCATTGTTGATTAGAGGAATTTGGAAAAAGCCTGTCTTGCCGCTTACGCGCTCTCCATACGTCTCAGATCAAGCTTAGCGGGTAAGCCCAATTTTGCATGAATACTGCTTTCTGCTAAGCATCAACATCATATTGGTCGACATAAGTAGATTGGTTTGCAATCCATTTTCATAGCAATATAGAGTTTTTGTCATGAACCAATCAACTCAATCAATCAGATCAATCAATTATGGGCCAGGATCCGTTCCCATGCTCATCACTTTACCATCAAGCGCGAAACAAAATGAGATTGACTTTCTTTGATTGACTTTTTCCCGCACAGTTGATCACATGGTATCGTCCATTCCCTACAGCATGGCTGGCGGAGCTTACCCGATGTTTGTCATCGTATGCGCGTGTCAGTTCTGGATAACTAGAGAGCGAGAGTGCAAAAACTAAGTTTAAAAATGGAGGTTCTACAAGTTTTCCAGCGTTCAAATATCTGCAAGGCCACGTCTGCTATACACATGAAACTTGCCGAACAGAATTTGGACTTCATGTACAATAATTTACAAGAATGTAAATTTTGAAGACTTAGGCCTCGTCATACCTGTTCTCAATTTGATGTTTCAGAACATCATCAGACCAACTTTGGAACACGATTTTCGCAGAGTTACAACTCGCGCACCTTCTTTAGCTTATAAGGGAATGATCAAAAGGCGAAGTGGCCAATCTAAATAAGGTGTATACCATTCGATTCAGCATGGAACACTGATTTCAAACTGTCTTCCATATCTGCAAAACGCCTTTGTAGGCAAAGTTATGAGCAGCTTCACTGCGAAAAGAATCGTACACAAAAATTGCGAATTCAGGTACAGTGTCCTATTAGCTCACTTCCTGTGGGTCTTAGAAAGTGATCTATTTCCATGTTCTGGTCCAGCAATTAGCCGAGATTGGCTCTGTACGGCCAAGTTTGCTCTTTACACGCACGATTTCTTAGCAAATTAATGGCCTTTAACGGCTTATAATTTCTTACCAAAGTGTTCTATAGATAAGAGAGATAGAGTCAGCGTTTCATGCTGCATGATTGGCCACTTCGATGCCTGACCGTTTCCTCGTTAGACAGAACGCTAAAAACCCATACATTGATAAGATTGAACCAAACCACTGTCGCTCTCATTTTTGGGTCATAAATAGTAGGTTGGAAACTAGTTTTGCAACTCATTCATTGACTTTCCTCTTTCTCAGCATGGCGCAATAATAATTTGCCGTTGTATAGATTATGACAAATTCTGACGCCGCAGTGGGGTTACGGTAGGTATATGATATGGAGACAAAATTACTGTCCGACAGACTTGGCTGAAACTTGGCATAGGGATGTTATCCGACATGCTGATCACGAGAACAATATTGAACTTTAAGATTATTGTAGGTTTACGACATAGGGTCTCACCCTCAACGAGAAGAGAGGGGTTCCTTTAACAAATAAATATGATAATCGTGTTTGACAGGTCAAAGAATCCTACTATGTGAAGTTTCGGCAAATTTTAAAGGCAGTGTCCAGGCTAAACCTAACCCCCTCCGATTAGTGTCGATCCTGAATGTAGGCCCCAGAAAAGGGGCATCTGCGTTGGTCCGGTCTTCTAACGTTGTCTCTGAATGAGATAAGGAGCCTGAAACTCCCTGGCTGGGCGGAGTATGATATCAGACTCCGCCCATCAGGGACTGCTCACTACCTTGTCAATACGTGCCTTTCGACACGTATTGACAAGATAGTGAGCAAAAGCTGCACACTGCACACTGCAATGCAACTGCACCCATGCAGTTGCAGCTCCTTCCCGCTGGCCTGCCGACGGGGACGAGCAATTCGAAACTCGTCCACGCCCTCAAAACTGGGTCCCCAAGAATCGGGTTTTTTGTGAATTTTAGAGAGTTTGAAGCTCGGAACTGTAATCAGGGCCACGGAAAGGCCTAGAATGACGAAAACATGGGGGGCCAAATTCTGGGTGGACGCTGCCTTTAAGGTTGACTCCTTAGTCATTGATTGTCCCCAGCAGTCTTGCGTACGGCATTCGTTCGACTTTGTGAGGGCGTCAAAACTCGACATACCCACCTATTTCATTTCTTTCTCACTGAGGCGAATGAGTCAAACTCTAGCAACAAATTCATACACGAACCCGGATTATCACGCACCAGTGCGTCACCTCTGCTTCGCAGAGGTTCGCACTGGCTCTACTATCTATGTGCCTTACTCATTCTCGTAAAATCGTGGCACTGGAACTCACCGCGCTATGCCGACTACCATGAATAAAATGTAAAGAACCTCTCATTTAGAAAGTCTTTTCACGTGAGATCGATGATTTCGCGTGGATGAAATTTTTCGCAGGAAGACAAACGCAAATTTGAATAGGTTTTTGGATTTGTCATGACTTGGTAGTCGCCATAAAAGTAATGGTAAACGTGAGCTACATCTCCGTGCGGAAATCTTCTCAAACGCTTAGCTAGAACCTTGGCAAATTGACCATTTACACAACCAATTCGTTTTGGCGCCGTTTTCGTTATGTAGTAAACTTTCGACCACTTTTCTGGCTAAACTCCATCGCTTGCACATTTGCTTACCAAACTCATCCTCTGCAAAAAGTGGTCATACGGACCGAATTTTGCGGTACAGAAGCCAGGTGGACCCGTTTGGCGCGCAATTTTTGAGGGGCCTACTCAACGAATCTACTGTGCTTTTGCATGTTGGACTTTCATGAAGGTAGCATGCGCTATACAAAATTTGGGCTTAGAACGCTGGCTGGAACACGCTCCACGAATTTCGTAACAGACGCACACACACACACAAAAAGTTGTAAGCATCCTTAGCCCGTTATAATAAGTCATGATGATCTGCCAACGGCTTCATATTGGCTTAAAGGCAGTGGCTCGGCAAATCTCAAACTAGTCAAATCTGCGCTTACCTGGGATTTTTCAATACGCTGATCCCGAAAATCCACTTTTGAAAGCTTGAAAACGGCGAAAATGAGCGTTTTTTGAAGCCCTTCCCTTTGATATTGGACGAGTGGAGCAAGGGCGATGACGCTAATTCGTGGCAGGACCCAATGGTTATAGCGTTGCGGCGGGCAGCCTCCAATGGTGAGAAGGAAATTGCCAACTCGTCCAGATGCGTGTAAGATTGGCCTGCTCGTGTAAGTTTGAGAGCGATTTTCTCGAAAGGGAAAGCATGCTGTGCAACCGGGATTGTACTGTTTTCATAGTTGGGCGATAAGGAACCTACCGCGTTAAAATCCCGAGTTGTTGGATTTTGCCGATCCACTGCCTTCAAAACCCCAACATTCACTATGTAAGGAAGAAGAACACTTGGTCTATCTATCGGATTATCGGATAAGTGATCTGCGCGAGCGTTGTTTGTTGTTTGTTGATTTGTTGTTGACTCTTGAGCACTCGGAGCGGCAGTGCCGGAATAGCGTTGGTTTCTGTTATTTTTTTATTGTCTCTTTCCTCACTTGTTGCTGTGAAGGCAGATTCTTGCGTTCTTTGAGGTATTTTTTCCGTTGTTGGTAAAATTTGTGCACTAGCAAATTCTTTTCCACACATGGTTCCATTCCACCCACCAATTTCTTCCTTTTCTTCTTCTAAGTTTTCTAGTTCTCGAAAAATGCCTGAAGTTTTCAAATTCGTGTTCAAACTCTAAAAGTTTGTGCGCGGCTCGCTCTACATATTGTCAGAGTTTGAGTGCGCCACATCCAAAGAGAGTAAATTTATGAAAGAAGTTGAACTTAGTTTTCCTGGTACATCTGAAACAATAACCTTTGGTGAAGATAGTGCTCCTCATGATTGGGTTAACCGATGATGCTAGGATAGAGATCATCTCTCTTTTCTATGTGCAATTCTCTTAGCAGGTAGAGGCGCAGAGAAATGTTCGTCATTGCTACAAGTGTGTATTACCCTGTTGATCTAGAGTGACGTTTTCTTCTGTAAATGTCGATGTTTTTCTTGCCGCTGAACACATTGCTGTAACGGATACCAAAAGAAGATACCGAAAAACTTGTGCGAAGTCGTAGAACATTGCACAAAGGAGGTACATTCTATAGAACTCTTCTCGCGCATGTCCAGCTCCATGTCCAGCAAGATCGAGATGCTTGGTCAATACGGCTTGCAAATGAGATGTGAGTAAAAAAGCAATCAATGCTTATTCCGGATCTGTCTTCGCTTTACGTGTTTCCAGCTCATTGATTGATTCATTGATTCAGCTTATAGAAAAAATACACACCGCATAGTGTTGAGTTTAGTGAATGGCTGTAAGTATAAACTGCTCAAGATAACGTGGCAGTCACTACTGCTCCGTTTGAGCTTTTTGAAACATGAAAAGATTTGAACTCAGCGTTTTATACCCTCCGGGGCAATTCATGTTGAAAAGCCAATCTTATATATAAAGCTGAATGTCTGTTTGTCTGTATGTCTGTCTGTCTGTCTGTCTGTCTGTATGTATGTCTGTGTGTACGTATGTTCCGAATAGAAAATTCCATTTCTGAACCGATCCGGACCAAACTTGGCACACATACACTACGGGCCCCGGCGGGTGTCATAGGCTACTTTTCGTCATCGATCGATATCGATTTTATCGATTTTTATCGATTTTTTTGCTGAGTTCACCTACGGGGCTGGGAGTTGGCACAGGGGGGTAATCGAGCATGGGGATTCCGAATACAATATTGGTTTTCAGGATTATCGATTACTTTTATCGATTTTATCGATTTTTTTGCAAAGTTTGAGCTACGGGGCTGGGAGTTGGCACAGGGGGGTAATCGAGCATAAGGATTCCGAATACAATATTGGTTTTCAGGATTATCGATTACTTTTATCGATTTTATCGATTTTTTTGCAAAGTTTGAGCTACGGGGCTGGGAGTTCGCACAGGGGGGTAATCGAGCATGGGGATTCCGAATACAATATTGGTTTTCAGGATTATCGATTACTTTTATCGATTTTATCGATTTTTTTGCAAAGTTTGAGCTAGGGGGCTGGGAGTTGGCACAGGGGGGTAATCGAGCATGCTGATCATCCCCAAGGGGGGTGATCAGCATGCTCGAACACCCCTGTGCCAAATTCCAGCCCCCTAGCTCAAATTTTCAAAAAATCGATAAAATCGATAAAAGTAATGGACGATCTTGAAAACTAATATTGTATTCGTAATCTGCATGCTCGATTACCCTCTGTGCAAACTCCCAGCCCCGCAGGTCAAACTTTGCAAAAAAATCGATAAAATTGATAAAAGTAGTGGACGATCCTGAAAACTAATATTGTATTCGGAATCCCCATGCTCACTTCCCCCTGTGCCAACTCCTAGCCCTGTAGGTGAACTCTGCCAAAAAATCGATAAAATCAATAAAAGCAATCGATAATTCTGAAAACTAATATTGTATTCGGAATCCCCATGCTCACTTCCCCCTGTGCCTACTCCTAGCCCTGTAGGTGAACTCTGCAAAAAAATCGATAAAAATCGGTAAAATCGACATCGATCGATAACGAAAAGTGGACTGTGACACCCGCCGGGGCCCGAAGTGTATGTGTGCCAAGTTTGGTCCGGATACGGCGGAGCCGGGTAAGCCAGCTAGTCTTATATAAATCTGAATGTCTGTTTGTCTGTATGTATCGTCCCCTCCACAGCTCGTGCTACCCTTGGTCTGCGTCTCAGACCTGCCAAGTGTGGCTAACACATTGGCAACGTTGGCAGAAACCGTTGGCAACATGCAGCAACATGTTGGCGTAGCCAAAATGTTCTGCCAACATGTTGGGGCATGTTGCAAACATGTTGTTGCCATGTTGCCAACATGTTAGCCACATGTGGCAGGTCTGAGACGTAGACCAACGGTAGCACGAGCTGTGGAGGGGACGACATGTCTTACGCTGTCTTTATGTACGTGTGTTCCGAATAGAAAATTCCATTGAACCGATCCGGACCAAACATGGCACACATACACTTCGGGGCGGGACGGGTGTCGCAGGCTACTTTTCGTTATCGATCGATATAGATTTTACGATTTTATCGATTTTTATCAATTTTTTGAAGAGTTCACCTACGGGGCTGGAATTTGGCACAGGGGGTAATCGAGCATGCTGATTACTAAAACAGCGGGAATAAAGTGAACTGACATGTAGACATGGGCACAGGGGAAGGTTGTACAGGGATAGGTGTGAGCGCTTTATCATAGGGTTTTGACAGGGCCGGGCAGAGCCGGGTATGCCAGCTAGTTTGATCAAAGATTTTTGTTAAGTGCGCCACATTCGAAGAATGATAATATTCAATTCAGCTCGTCCTCTTGTACTCCAGTTATGCTCTACAAAACCAAATTGTGAGCAATAACGGACAATCTGCACTGACTGACAAACAGTTTGGCGATTTAGTTCTGAGAACATATGGGCGCAGAAGAAAGCTGTGAGCCATCTATTTGGTTTTTAAAAAATAGACCTCAACCTCTTCCACTTGCTTTTAGAGAAAATATTACACTAGAGGACGGCGGTCATGTGCGGGTCACCGACATAATAATACCATTCAATCCCTATAGAAAGTGAGTTTATTCAGCGGGCAACCTGCAGCAGATTTGAGTGGCTATCACGAATTTTCTTTCTTCCTAAGTAGCATTTCAAATTTCAACGACACCACATCTCTTTCTTTACTGCGATTATTTTTAAAACAATCTTAGTGTTCTTCTTCACTTGTTACATTTACAGTTTCGCTTTCAGGTTGGTTGTAAACAGGGTAGCAGAAATCAAAGAAGGATTCCATTCGAGTGTCAGGCTAAAACTGCCAGAAAGTATGCACTGAAATCAAGTTTAGATGCGAGGTGATACGCTTCTTTAGAAAAAAATTGCCATCCCTTCACAAAACTATCTGAATCCCTCTTCAACTTTAACTCCAAAAGCTCATCGACTGCCGTTCCAGAAAGAGAAAAGATTATCACTTAAAAAAGAGAATTTTTGCAGGCCCATGACCCTGAAATCTTGGAGAATGTTCATAAGGCCAATTTAAGAAATATTCAGAGATTGTCTCAATTTTTCACTAGTATGAACTAGTCACTTGCACTTTTCATAACTCATAGAACTTTCAAGTATTTCGCGATCTATTCTCAGGAGTGCGAATGAAGCCGTTCAAAAAACCATTCTCGCTACCAATTTCGTAGAGGTTTTTTTATGGTTTCGCTCTGAGAAGTCCAGCCATGATACAGAAAGGTGCTTAAAGGCAGCGTCCAGGCAAGATTCATCCACTCAGATTAGCATATAGTTGTAAAAAGGGGCCCATGAGTATCCGATCTGCGTTGGTCCGATCCTTTGACGTGCCCTCTAAAAGGAGATACGGGCCTGTGATACGTATCACAAGCCGCCCTTCGTATCACAAACCACCCCTGAGGACGAGTGCTTACGCAGGTTGTGCGGTTGCATCGCAGTTGCATTGCAGGCACACTGCAATCAGAGGTGCGATAGTCGGAGCCGAGTCTCCGCCTACCTTCACTTTTGAGCTGGTACGGGATGACCATCTTCATTTTTGGGTTTGAAAAATTTTTTTGCTGAGGCTTAAAAGAAGGAAAATAGGCAAAAGAAACGCAAAAGAAAGTATTGAGAGCATGTATCTATGTAGTAGGTCGATCTAGGTAGTAACCGCAGAGAACCAGAATTTTGAATGATAAAATAGCGAAAAATCATGCGAAATTTCCACTGTTACAAATCTGGTGATTTAAGATATCAGCAATTGCGACTTCATAGGTTTTGAAGGGCAAGTGTTGTTCTACCAGACAGTGAAAGAATTAGGTCGACGTGAGCAGTGGCCGCCAAGAACGAGAATTTCAAAAAATTAAGCGATTTTAAGTCACTTAGTGACAGCTGACGTGTAGACTCCTATAAATCTGGAATGTGAAGATCTGCAATGTTACGACTTCATAGGTTTTACAAAGTAAGAATTTCTCTATCGGACTATGTTTTAGTCGTACCAATCCATTGAGATACCGCCGAGATTCAGGCTCTTAAAGAAACAGGTAAAAAACCGCTTTTTGAACTTCAACAGCTCATAACTTCTCCAGAATTGCATGAGTCATCTTGCGACTTCATAGGTTGGATTCTCCTCTTCAAGAGCTTTCAAAGGATATATAATATGTGGGGGTTTCGCGCCTCTCACGGCATATGCTCGGGGATGGAGGCTTTTCACCCCCAAAGTCTCCACTGGCGGTCTCCAGCCAATACATTAACATGGGCGAGGTGGAGACTTTGGGCTGAAAAGTCTACACCCTGGGTTAGAGCCCCAAAAATCATTGAACCCTCCACATAATATATATCATCTGAAAGCTCTTGAAGAGGAGAATCCAACCTATGAAGTCGAAACATGATTCATGCAATTCTTAAGAAGTTATGAGCTGTTGAACTCCAAAAAGCGGTTTTTTACGTGTTTTTTCAAGAGCCTGGATCTCGGCGCTGTTTCAATGGATTGGTACGGCTAAGATATAATCTGATAAGGCAAACCTTACTCTACACAACTTATGAAGTCGCAACATTGCACAAGTTTACATTCCAGATTTATAGGAGTCTAAACGTCAGCTGTTACTAAGTCACTTAAAATCGCTTAATTTTTTGAAATTCTCGTTCTTGGCGGCCACTGATCAAATCGACCTAATTCTTTTACTATCTGGTAGAACAACACTTGCCCTTCAAAACAGTCGCAATTGCTGACATCTTCAACCGCCAGATTTTTTTACAGTGGAAATTTTGCATGATTTTACGGCATTTTATTATTCGAAATTCTGGTTCTCGTTGGTTACTGCCTGGATCAACCTACTTTATTCGCAGTATGTTATAACAAAATTTACTTATTATAATACGTAAAGTCAAGCTGGGTTTTACTTACAAATAGACCTTTTGACTAACACGTTCATTATTTTATTTTTATGCCGCTGTACTCATCGTATTTCTGGCCCTAAAGAGGGCCGTTAGGTCAGTTGTTGGCCCTCAAGGGGGGCGTTAGGTGAGAGTTCTTTAGTTATCCGAAGTCCCCCCCTCCTCGGTCGACGTTTTTGGGAAATGAGTGTCCGGCATTACCACCTTCACTTTTGGCCGGCCCGTGGTGACTGAAACGACCTTCACTTTTGGGGGGCCGGGCTCCACCTATCGCACCTCTGACTGCAATGCAACTGCATCCGTGCAATTGCAGCTCCTACCGCTGGCATGATGATGAGGACGAGCAATTCGGAACTCGTCCGATCCTTGAAGAGAGGGTCCCCAAGAACCGGATTTTTTGGGTTTTGAACAATTTGGACTTTACAACTGTAATCAGGGCCACTGAAAGGCCCCAGAATGGCAGAAACATGAGAGACGAAATCTTGCCCGGACGCTGCCTTTGAACGCAAGACCCTCAACGATGACATTCGCAAGATTTCCTTTAGCCTGAAGTGAATGTCGCGGTTTGGGACGCGGAAGTCCGCAACATTCCTGGAACTCCGCGACATTCCGGGAGTTCCGCGGCATTTCAGAAATTCGCGAAATCACATGAATCACGCAAAGTGCACAGCAGCGGCATAACTTTCTTTGGAAATACATTACAAATCTGAAAAGAAGCATTGTGCTCATCAAGGCAAATCTTTTCGTATGCAGCATGTCCTCAATATTCCGTTTCCAATATTTTCACGTCTTTCTGCGGGCGTCATTTCGCAGGGGTGTAACGGAGTGCACATTATACATGAAAGAATCCAATAAGCACTGTTCGACAGTGCTGTTAGTGTAGATTACAGAGCGCTAAAAGCTACCGGACAATTCTTTTTAAGGGAAGTGAGAGAGCTCAAACTTTGGAAGAATCATGTTGTTCCAAATTCTACTCGTCGTAACTTCTTTCTAGATATAAATATATATATAGTCTGAATCATGCGAACCACGCAAACTACGCAGCGCCATAACTTTCTTCTGAATGAATGTATTCCAAGTCCGAAAGGAAGCATTGTGACATCTGTTCGCAAGGGTGTAATGTAATGCAACCACACTTAGAGAATCTCAATAACTTTTCGATAGCAATCTTCCTGTAAAATATCGGTTGCTAAAGAGTAGCCGCTGGCTTTTTTGAAGGAGATAGAAAAGCTGGTAAATTCTGGAGAAATCTCGTCGTTGCAAAGAATTCCCAAAATTGCGACATTCACAGAAAATTTGCACATTCTGTGATCGGTTTGTAGGTCAAACGCTGTATCGGATTAGGTGAAGAATTCTGAACACCAAATGTTGGATTATCATCAATTGTGTCAAGTCAGCCTGTCAAATTATATTAGCGGTGACGAAACAACACAAAGGGGCCAGCTTGTTTAGACCATCCAGCACATTGCTCACATACTGAGTAAGCCAACTAAGCTCAATCTCGTTCCCGGGTATTTTCTTCTACAAACATGCGGGTTTTTTAACGTAAGGAAGAACTGTTTTTTTCTAAATTAAGCACGTACAAGGTGTTTTTTTTTTCTAAATTAAGCACTGCTGAGAGTGTGTGTTTAAAGATAGAAGCAAAGTGTACATCGTTGACAAAAGATATATTCCAGAGTTGACACCTTCGACTATCGATACATCACAATGGGAGATTGACAAGACGTTTCTTTTTCCACATACTTACTATATTCGCATGATAGGTGATTTTCTGATTATTTTCTTGCACAGAACTTGCACATAGTTCTAGGTGCGATGTTTCGCAGCGATCTCATCAATCTCTCACAGAACAGCAATGCTAATGTATTAGAAATTGGCCTTGGAGGTGGCACAATCGACGTATTCTTGCATGAAGTCTTTCCACAGGTTTTATGCTAAAGCTAAGCGCTCGAAAATACCTCAAGCCCTCTTGAGATGAACATTACGGCAGTGGAAATTAGTCGAAGGACTGTTGATATGGCTAGAAAATGGTTTGGAATGGTGGAAGATGATCACCATAAAGTGGTAGTAGCCGATGGTGTGGCTTACATTGCAGAAAAAGCTAGGACAGGTCGGCTGTCTTTATGCAGGGTGTTTGGAAAGTTTCTGGCCTATAGTACCCTTTGCTTCAACCAGAATGGCTGCTGGAAGGCGGGGATTTATGACCTAGGAGGCGCTGCTCGCGTACGCGACGCAGTCTGCGCCTCCCTCGCGAACATGCTCTCTGATCATCTAGCCTCAATTAGGTCACGGATTCCCCGGCTTTCAGCCGCCGATCGCTGAAGCAAAGGGTACTCTCAATCCAAATTTTTAAGCAAATTTGGTTTGATTGTGCTCACTAAACCTAGAAACCATTAATTCACCAAAAATCAGGTTTTTCTGTGGATACTTTGGTTTTTTTGTGCTGGGTATTTTATGTAGCCCTATGTAGCTCTTCACGCCTTTTTCCTTATATGCTTTTTACAAAGGCGAAAGCAATTTCCACAGAAAGCTTTGTACGCCATCTGGAAGCCCTTTTTCCAGCTTCACACTTTTTTATTTTTGTAAAAATAAGGTTTTGAGATATTGTGCCTTGAAAAGAGACACAGTGCCAGGATGCTCTTATTACAAAATCCAACTTCATTATTTTTGTAATCCTTCTTCAAAAACTTTACAAAGGTGCAAAAACTTTGAAAAAGCACATAATAGTCAAAGGTTGCGCCATGAATGCACATTGAAACAAGATGCCCAAAAACTTCAATCTGAAAATAATATCTGTATCGGTTTAATGTATTTTTGAGACCAAAAAAACTCGACCGCAAGCTACGCAGAACATTTTTTCAAGAGAAAGCGTAGAGTTAGGACTTTTGGTAGGAAGAAAACGGAAAATTATTCCGTTTTCCGTTGAAAAAAAGAGGGATCTAAATTACGCGCTTGTCCACCTCTTCAAGAAATTAAAAAAGTTGAGTTACCTTGAACTTCTTGGAGTATCTTCGAGTAATTTTCTTCCTGTCGATTTAGTGGTCTCGAGTTTAGCGAACACATTAGCAAAATGCTAATTAGATTTCGCAATCGAAGTACTTGAAGTGAGAAATTTTCCAAACACCCTGTATTTTTGCATCTAACTTATGAAGGGAAACTAATTTTTTATTCTAGGGGCTCAGTATGATGCGATCCTAATCGATGCATGCCGATCCGAGCATCCGGGAAATATTAATTGTCCTTTGGAAATATTTTACAGCGATCAGGTTTTGAGGAATGTTGCTAAACTGCTTCCTCCACAAGGTATGGTGTTTTCTGAAGAATTAGGATGATGGGATTCGCTGACTCAGCACAAACTTTACCAAACACCTTTGCTTCACCGTTCTTCAAAAGCGACAGTCATTGTCCCTCTATATGGTGTTCAAAAAATGTACACATCGTTTGACTTTTGATTGCTCTCTATTCTCAAGGTCTTGGCGGAATTTCATGTTTTATTTACGCGTAGATTTCACTTACAAGGGGATCTTCATTGAAAAAAATTGACAATAAAGTACCTCATTATTGCGATATCAGTAAGATTGAACACAGTGCCCACATTGCAAATCAGTTACAGCAGGGAACCGGGAAACGCGGAAACTCTTTTTTCAAACTCTCTATTTCCATCCACATACAGGGTGTCCCAAAAAACCATTCTGTAGAACTGGCTACAATTTAGACTTTCAGTATGGATCGAATGTCCGATTTCTTTTCGCTACGGTAGGGTTACGTAAACTTTCAGCACACAGCGCCTCAAGGTTTGACGAGAAAATGCGAAAACTGAAATATATGACAGGGTCTTCGAGCATTCTGATCTTAATACTTAACTTTTCACAAGATTTTTGCACTATTTTGGAGGTGCGGTCGTATCTTCAAAAAACACTGATAAAGCAGTTGTTACTGCCTTGAATAACTTATGAAGAAGGCATGACCGCGCTGTGCAAATTTCTTATCTGAAATCAGCGACTCTGATTAGCGTGGTTTAAGAGCACATGGCTTGTTTAGCCTCCTTCAAAGGAAAAATGCGACTCTTAAAAGCAGCGGCTCGGCAGAATGACAAATTCCGATATTCATCGCTCTCGGTTCCCCTGGATGAGCTAAGTCCAAGGCTGAGATGAGCTAAGTCCAAGGCATTTTCCACTTCTGGAGCGGGTTATTGATATATTCTGAAGGTGCTTCGCACCTTCAGAATATATCAATAACCCGCTCCAGAAGTGGAAAATGCTGTTTGGGCGGACGGCGTATGCCTGCCCTCTAGAGCGCGATTGGCTCATGGGCACGGTAGGTACGGTGTCTCCACTCACGAGCCAATCGCGCTCTAGAAAGCAGGCATACGCGGTCCGCCCAAGTAGCACTTTTCACGTCTGTAAAAGCAGGTTATTCATTCTTTTGAAGCTGCAAAGCACAGTCTTAAACTCACTGTTGTCCAGGGGAACCAAAAACAATAAATTCCCAAAGCTGTCACTGCTCAGCCGCTGCCTTTAATGGTCTGGGTTCCTTCATACTATGCCGAAGGACGCGGCGTGCTGCGGCGTGCGCGGCTGCAGTCGCAGTGAGAATATACGCTCACGGAAGCACAACTTCGCTGATTATGCATGTATCTCTATATTTGCTGCACGTTCGTATTCTCCGAAGATCTTTCACAGCGAGTGAAACTTATAACCAACTTATATTTTTACTGCGACTGCAGCGGCGCACCGCAGGACGCTGCATGCTGCGGCAGGCTCCTGCGTCCTGTCGCGTGCGCCGCAGCACGCCGCAGCACGTCACGTCCTACGGCGTAGTATGAAGGAACACTTTTGAATCCTCTTAAAGTTCCTACCGCAACCTACAGTAAGGAAGAAAGTTCGGTGATTACTCCATAGTGTAAATTAAGGCCAACTTTACAAATTAGTATCTAAAGATCGACAAAACACATACAAACAGGAGAGTTTCTAAAAATCAAACATGTGCACTTTTTTGGACACTGTATTTTGTACGGCTCATGAAAATTAGGTACTGTACATCTTCTATGACTGTTGAGGAACAACTCTCTTTCGAACCATAAACACCCTTTGCAAATCTGACAAAGTCGGCGTTCAACACGGTTGTAAAGGCTTGCAAAAGTTTCGGATAGATGAATCATAAAAAACGGAAAAGTGCACATGATTTGGGACATCCTATGTTTGAGCTAATGCAACATGCTAATATTCTCAAACATTCAATAAACTTGCCATTTATTATGTCATACACGTATATGTTTGCGTACTTTGAACTTTTTTGCTTAATTTCTTTAGGCCTAAGGCATACCTCGGGCGACTTTAGTCGTCGCGCAATTTGGCACTACAACGACTCTCCATAGCTGCTCGTAAACGCACTTTGCTTAGGCCAGACTTGCTGTGTTTGTTACAATTTTCGGAATCCACCCATGCATCTGAAAGCCTCGCATGCTTAATCTCTAGGCACCTGGCAAATCGCCAAGTCGCGAGGATGTGGCAATTTCGCGAAATCGCGAGAGGTATGCCTTAGCCCTTACACTTCGCCTTTCCATAGCTTAGACCTCATCTTTGATTTTTTTGCTAATTTTTGAAGCTTCCTTGGGAATTGCTGACGTGCGGCACCAAGGAAGTTGCACTACCAGTATAGTTTTGAGCCTCGAAATCGGATAGTGTAGAACGCGTACCACAATCATGGAATTTCTTGTGTTCCAACCTAATCTTTATCAGGTGCTTTTTACTACTAAAAACACAATCTGTCGTTATTTAGCTTGACAATGACTATCAAGTAATAAGACTTCCTGATAACTTCAGGAGAATAAGATCCGTTCCGTTAGAGTAGCTTCAACGATGGATCTGAAGTATGCCGCACGAAAAAGCCAAAGTCATCCCCAAGGTCAGACGGAACTGTACTCAATTCGAAATTTTTTTTTAGGTATCCTGGTTATCAATGTCTTGTCGATGAGACTTGATGTCGACACCGCTTATCAAACCGTAAGTGCTTCAAAAGTGTTTTACTATCGCTTAGAATTAACTACAAAGTACTTTTAGTTAGCAAGGAAACTACTCGTGTATTTTTCATTTTGCGATAAGTTGCGCTGGACCGGCTCTCGTAACCAGGCATGCATCCGTTTCTGTAAATAAACACGGATATCAAACATTTTTTATAGGTGATATATTGCCTGCATCGTGCTCCGACTCCTAAACCTATGATCGACATGTACAAGTTTCTCAGCGACATAAAGAAGATGTGACCCCAAAGGGAAATGACCTCTAGAAAAAACTTCACTTCTTTGAGTTAAATGGGGTAGAGATGATTCATTGGTAAAGACTACTGCAACTTTTTACCTAACCATAAGTAGCTTGTTGCACTTATCCTCTGACACATACCATAGAAAAACGAAAAATTCGCAGGCAGTCTTCTTGCATAATGTTTCTGCTTACTATGAAAAAAATAATATTCCTGAAAAATTTCTCTGTTGTGAAAACTCTAATACTCTATATGGGAAGAATATATTATGAACAAAATTCAAAACAAATATTGGCACACTGTGCGATTTCTCTAAAGCTTAAAGTTTTGCCGAAAGTTGTGGCAAAACGTCAGAGCGAATCAAAAAATTCTCTTCATGCATATAAAGTTAATCCGCTCGAGTTCAGTTCAAAGACACACTCCATTTCCATACTTGACCCATGATACTTTCGTTCAAAACGATTGTTGAAACTTACTAGGAAGCATAAAGGCAGTGTCCCGGCAGATTTTCGTCTTCCAATTTTCATCTTTTCGGAGTCTTCACGCCATAAGAAAACCCACAAATGGTCCAAACTCTTCCAGGTCCGCATACATTGTAGAAAACGTGCAAGTGGGCGGCCGGAACAAGGGAGGCGGGGCGCGGAAGACTTCCAACGTATCTTCACTGAATGCGGACACGGAAAACTTCGAAGGAAGCTTATTTTCCCACTTTCATGCGCTGAAAAGCCCGGATACGGATCCTTATGGGGAGAAGGCTTTCAAAAGATGAAACCTGGAAAACGAAATTCTGCCAGACATTGCATGTAAGTCATGTCCTTGATTTGTTACAGTAAACGCTAGGATTAACTGCTAATAACATTATTCTGTGTTGGCAATTTCTGTAAAAGCGTTATGGTTTGAATTGAATCAAAAATATGTAAGTGATAGAAAAAACGAAACTAGTGCGTAAATTGTAATAGATGTTCTGCCAAGCCCAGATTAGTACGGTGGAATCTTTATTGACCTAACGTTTCGACAAGGTCGTCTTCTTCGGAGGTCTGAAAGATGATTGCAGTCCTGACCTGTAAAACTACGCCGCCAAACGTCATCTCCGTACTTATCGAGTCTTATGCACAACGTAGTACAGAGAGGCACGCTGGGAGGCACGCTGGGAGGCACGCTGGCAGAAGGAACCGACCGTTGAGATGACGTTTGGCGGCGTACTTTCACAGGTCAGGACTGCAATCATCTTTCAGACCTCCGAAGATGACGACCTTGTCGAGACGTAGGTCAATAAAGATTCCACCGTACTAATCTGGGCTTGGCAGAACATCTATTACAATTTACGATATAAGATGCCCAGATTCAGAGAAGAGAGAAACTAATGCGATTTTTGCACAACAAAGTATTCTTCCATCGCTGTGAGAAGAGCCTGAAGATTCTGGGTATGCGCACAATGGCCTCTAAGCAAAATGCTATTAAAAACTATCTTGCTTTAGTTCAGGGAAGTTAAACTCTCTATTTTAAAACCAAATCTCAGATACAAGTGGTTCATGGAATTCTGAGCATTTCACATGTCACTTACGCTCTTTTCTGTCTCAAACTACAAAATTCTCTGGTGCAAACAACTGCATACGTCATATAGTGAGCCTTCATGCCCTTCGTGATAAAGATGCCATTCACGACTAGTACTTCACTGTTAACGCCATTGAGGCTGATTTTTTGCGCAAAGCAAATGAGCAAGGACCTAAGCATACATATGTTTTTGCTACGCTCAATACAGTGCCGTTCACAACCATAAATTCACTTTTACAACAAATTCTGCATTTGCTGATGGAACCGTTAGATGTCCGTTTTGTGCATATGCCAATAACCATTGACTTTGACAATAAAAAGCCAAAATCTAACAAAGCCCGCATTAAAGGCTGGTCAGTACCATAAATTCATGACTTCTAAATTTTCAAAATCTTTTTGTAGAGCCATGTCACAAAGCAAGAAACAAAATATCAACTAACGGCCGCAATAGAATCGATCCTTACACCTTTCTAAACTTTGAATGGAAGAATAATAAATTCACAACACACACTAGAAAGGATTTCGCTGGATGAAACATCTTTGCACTGGCCAGCGCTCCATTTGAGCTTGAAAAGGCTTTACGACTGATTTTATTCCGGCCCTCAGTTGATTTTCTCGCTCCAAAATGATAAGTTCCCAGAAAAGCTCTGCTGGGGAACAGATTTGGAATCAGCGCTCCGAGCTTTTATAACAGTGTACTTCGTTGTAATCGGCCATTACGATTTTGTGACCCTCGCTTATAAGTTCAATCCGCTCTCAAAGACGATGGCCGAATCAGGCAATTTTAACTTTCACAACACGGAGGGAATCAACTTCCATTGTGTCTAAAAAGTCTTCTCCAAAATACGGTAAATGGCACTAGGATGAACTCTGCGTGACCGTTAGTATCGACCGCTTAACCAGAACACTTGATTTCTAAGAGAGCAAAAATTCTGAGTTCATACCCAAACAGAACTCATATTGCCTAATCTGCCCTGTCAAACTTCCAAAAATTTTTCCCTCCGAATTTATAATATTTGTCAAGCATCCTTTACTTCTTCCTCTTTTATTACTGCACAATCTCATTTATGGCACTGAGTCACATATCAGTTCCAAACCCGCCTCTTGTTTTTGCCGCCGGAAACGCTAGCCAAATGGCGCAAAATCTGAATATGTCCCCTTTCCTAGTACAACCCCCCCCCCCCTCTTCCGCTACATGAAATAGAGCCAAATTCGCAGCAGCAGTCTGAGGATATCTTTTTGAAACAAATGGAACTTTCGAAGTTGTTTATTTGTCAGTCAATTCAGGGTTCATCTGTTCCATCAGGTGATCCAATTTTTCCTCGAGTATTCGCACAATCTCGCGATCAATGAACAAATGCGTTTCATCGAGCTCCTAAATAAATTCTGTTGAGGTCTTCTGTAAGGGGGATGATCGTTAGATCCACACATGCTTGCAATGCAAAAATTATAAAATCTCGGTGCAGCGAAGAAATCAAATTTGGATGGAATTTGCTCATTATTGCGATGATAATAAACATAAGGGTGGAAACAGGTGAGTCACACCCAGAAAAATTTGCAAATTTAGTCACGAAAGAGCTCATTTCCACATATTACCATTCAACTATACCATCTACAAAGGATAAGTGTGACTTGAAAGTAGCATCGTAAGACAAGGAAAAATAATAGAAAGTCGGGAATGACGAGCAATTCTTTTGCTATCGAGATGATGCGTGCTGGCCTAACAAACAGAAATGTAGGGCCTTGCAATGAACCACGAAAATGAAGACACTGTATTAAAACAGCAGAAGAGGAGTGTACTAGTCGAGACAAGGCTGTGAAACGTTTTGCTTTGAAAGCAGGCATTCAATGCAGGGCTAAGGAACTCGATTACATATTCCGAAATGTACTAGGATTCATGTAATATCTGAACTTCAATATATACGCGTAGCAAAAAGCGACCACTCTGTGTCTTACATATATGCGAAACTCGTTCCAGTTTGTGAGCTACACACCAATTTCAACCGGGAGTTTAAGTCTATAAAATGCAGGAATTACAGCTCAAATTAAGCACAAACCTTGACGATGAACTTGCTCCCCAGAGTTCTCGACTCATCGAGATGCATAAGAAGTTGCCGCATGGCTGGATCACATGTGACTAACACACCCTTTTTAACATTAACCATCTGTAAGTAGCAGATTGCAGTGATGTAGAAATTTGCACAAGGATGTTCGATATGATGGCCGTGGGAACACCACATAATTCACATTCTCATCATCAGAATCATTTATTGATGGACAATAACAAGCTCATAAAACCTACATTATATACTATACTTTTTGCTTCGTGACCTAAGATACTTGTAGTAAGCTTCCATGTGTTCCCAACCGTTTTTCAGTTTTTCCCTTGTTCGGAAAGGTGGGGGATCACCCTTAAATGCAGACTTCATAAAAAAAGATTAAGTACAAACACATGCCTACCTCCTCAAGCCGTACAAACACGTTTATGTATCGGTAACGTATGGTGCACCAATTCTCATGAGCATGCCTACGAGCTCCTAAAATTCAGACGTTTATTTTCAACAGTGAATAAGGATTTGGTTAGATGCACAGAGTACCCGATACAAACTTTCGGTACTTCAAATATCGAATCTACGCAGTCCCAAGACTTCCGGATATAGGGCCTGCATGATCATGAAGGTCGGTTTGTTTGCGGCCATTGCTCACGTAGAGTGCCACAACGCCTCAATCTTATATATAAAGCTGAATGTCTGTTTGTCTGTCTGTCTGTCTGTACGTATGTTCCGAATGGAAAATTCCATGTCTGAACCGATCCGGACCAAACTTGGCACACATACACTACAGGCCCCGGCGGGTGTCATAGGCTACTTAGTGGACTGTGACACCCGCCGGTGCCCGAAGTGTATGTGTGCCAAGTTTGGTCCGGATCGGTTAAGAAATGGAATTTTCTATTCGAAACATACGGCGGAGCCGGGTAAGCCAGCTAGTGAGTTATACAACTGCCGTACTTTTCGAACTTCGAGTAATTGTAAACATCTTGAAGCAGAAAAGCGTTTGATAGGAGAAAGAAAACTGAGAAAGATGCGCAAGCATTGGCAGCCAAAACATCGACCTTCACAATCAGGTAAAGCCCTACACAAAACAAATGTCTCCTCTATCATTGTCTACTTTTATTCATATGACGATAGTTTTTGAAAATAAATGTGGTATATCCCCTCACAAGCGAATAGCTTTTAAATAATAGTGTGGGGTTATGCCAACAAGCATAGCGTTCCATTGACGGATACGGCGTACCGAATGGGAGGGGGGGGGGTTGCGTTTTTGAAGATTACTTGCATGAGTTATAAAAATGTGCAAATGACTTATACATAGTCGTAAAAAATTGAAATAGTTTTTAAAATCTTTTGAAAATTCAATTTAGCCCTACAAAAAATTCTTCTTCACGGACGGCTCCCCGAACAGAAATCCTGGGTACGCCAGTAGTGGATACATATCACAAACAAAATCACGAAAAAGTCGTAAAATAAATAAAAAATGGCACTGCAAGTAAAACTGTTCACTGAAGTACAGATATACTATGCTATTCGGTAAAAACGAAAAAAAAAGAATGAGTATACAGAACAATGAAACAAACTCCCAAACTAGCCTTTGATTATATTGCACTGGACAGGAAACGCGTCCGCAACATACATCTCCGATGGATATTCAATGTGAAACTCTTTCTCTGCTCGTTCCTTAGCTTCGCTCAAAACTTCAGCAAGAATTTTGCAACTCTTAAAAAATTTAGTTGACTTCTGTAGCAAAAAAAGAGACATCCTTGTTATGACACCGCTCAGCAAATTACCTTTAATTGCTGAAAATTCAACTGAGTTATTGCTTCATCGACATTGGTTCGCCATACTAGTTGACAGGCTTGCCACATACGCTTTGGCGAGAAGTGTATCTAGACAGACATTTCAGATGGCTCGAACGCCCTAAAACACCGTTCCGCCCAGACTGAGGGCGATGAGATTCTAATGTTTTTTGATAACGGAATCCCTAACTCAGCAGTTGCCCAAGTGCTGAAGACTAATTCAAATCAAACCGTTCCAGAAGGTAGAAGTGGCTAAGCCTCCGCCCATCAACATGTGCAGTTTGGGCACAAGTCCGAAATTGGGCTTCAACGTGGACAGACAGGTCGCGGAACTGACGAAAGAAGATTGGATCTATGACAATTGATTCTGGATACATCAAAGCCCAGATCCGGACCTGTTTGCTTGATTAAGACAATGATTGATGGGCGGAGCCAGCATGGCCGTTCCTGCCTCTAGAGCAATTTTCTCGCTTTGAAATTAATCTTTTGCAGCGAAACTTGGATGACCGCTTTGCTAGCGGCCCGCTATTTTATAACATCAGAATTCACCCTCAGTTTGAATGGTAAGTAGTTGATAACTGATTTACCGATTCTCTGCAATGGAACACCTCCCTCATTTTCGGTAGTCCAGTCTCAGGAACGATATAATTCGGTGGCCATACCACCTATAACATTGGATCCACACAAGCTACTCAGAACAGATGAGCAAAAACTATACTAAGCACCAAGAACACTAGAGAAGTAGAACCCTCAAAAGTGCCGCTACTACGACATAGTCCTATCCTAAGACCTGCTGTAACGAAATTTCTACCAATCTGTTTCAAAATTTTGCAAGGTTCTCGCAAACCGAATCCTAAAGCGCATCCTGAGAAGAAAGCAACAGGTTCTTACTGTTATGGCGAGTAGTATAATATTCGTTGGGCTCCCGCGTCTTTGCAAAGCGAAACAGTTCTATGAAGGCTTACTATAATTTTCATGCATACATTAGTATCACATCTTATTATTAGGAAAGGAAACGGGATCATCGTGGCTTCTGCACATGAGATGCATGTGGAAATAGTCGTCTTAGAATGTTGATCTCAAATCTATGCTCGCTATTTGAAAAGCCATTTTGTGGGCACGACCACTTTTTGAAATTTGTGACAGACCGCGATAATCATCAATGCTGACCAAATTGCCTACTGTATGCTACATAGTATTCAGAATAATCAATGCATTCAATAAGCAAAGGAGCACGAAAATCTTGCATAAACCATTCCTACCCTCTGCAACAGTGCAACTATGTTATCAAAATGCGTTCATCGTTTCTTGGAAAAAATAGCTTTGCAGAGGGCAAACATATTTGAGATTAGCGTTCCAAGACCAGCATTTATATATACATTTTATATGGAAAAGTCACGATGACCGCGGATACTTCTCCTGCTAGATTCGTAGAACAATCTTATCCTTGCAACAAACTTTACGAATTCTCGCAAAGCTTGATGGGTACCTTGTAAGATCGCAATTTAAAAAGGGCAGTCTTCGTATGAGTAAATAAAAGGAGAATTGTAAGGCGCGTAAGTGCAAAAGAGGAAAACAAACACTCCATTCCTATCAAACACCTTGCATATACCGCTGCGGACTTCTCTACTCACTGCAGAAGGGTAGAACAAATGCTTGGAGTGCTATTCTTTTCATTGTTTCACCGCTTTGTGCACACAGTCGAACAAGTGCCCCTTACAAATGGCCAGTTGCGCAGATAAATCTGAATATCGATGACCCTCCGCTAGACTATAACTAGTAAGGTGGTAGGGTTGATACTCTGGAGAACAATGCGACGTAAGGCTTTGGGTACTTCAAGCGATTTCAGTGCCACGCGATTTGCCGATTTCCCATTTCAAATCCACCACCTGCAGACTACGAATGCATAATGCGTAATGTAAACTGATGAAATGCCCTGTATGTTGTGCGATCAAAATGCGATTATGATGAGTTATAGGAAACTGGGGTATTGCTAAACAGCGTTGCAACCATCAGGTACCTAAGCAGGCCCATAAGACGAGGGTCTATTAGAATGAGAATTCACTAAGCACCACTCGAAAGAAGTGATATACAACAATATGTATAACAAATTGACTTTAAAAAAGTGCGATGCTAAGCGGAGAAAAAGGACTTCCCCACCTTATTGTAGTATTCCCACTTTTCCGGGTTCATGCCATAATTCTTCAAAGGATCAGGGAAACCAGCGTCTTTATTGGGCTTCTTGTCTAGCTCCCACTCAGGAGCGTAATACACCTAGAAAAACAATAGCATAATATTCTATATACCTAACTCAGAAAATATCCCAGTGCAAAGCTATGTATAGAGGGGAAGAAAGAGAAAGATGACCTTAGCGGATAACATCTCATCTCGTTGTAGCTTCGGCTTCCTCAGTTTCAGCCGACGATCCCATGCCTGAGAAATGACGTTATGAGAAGAGCCCATACTATGGACGGAAAACTACTAGCAAGATAAAGTGCATAGATGAATCTTGCAAACCTCTTTGGACCCCGGTACAACAGAAGTCGTTGCAGCATCCAAGGGCTTCTGAATATTAGTATGTGAACATCGCAGAGAAAGGCACCTCAGCCCTCGGGCCAGCATGCCTCTAGCTGTGCAGGATTCTAAAAACTTTCAATATTATCAGCTTTGATGACGAATGCGTTAGCTCCCTTCCTCCAAGGCTGCAAGATAATCGCGACCTACTCGTTGTGCGGTTAAAGACGACTCAAAACCTTGCACATAAAAAAGACGAAAGTAAATCAACAAAAGATACTCAGCTGAAAATGGAGATTTGCAATTTTTTGTGAACACACTTTCAATTTAAAAAGAAGACGTAAAATCAAATGCACGTCTCCGCTACACAAGCCCCACATTTCACGCCTAATACCTATTTTTTGATTTTGAGCTCCTGCGGGGGGTTGGGGGCATGGGGAAGGTGACAATGTGCGCAAGATACAAGCAGCGTAAAAACGCTCTTGCTAATTTTTACAAAATCTTACTTGTAGTTTGAGTTATGTATCTGCCCCCACCACCAGCCAATGGCAGCCTTGTTTTGAAATGATACTTGTCAACACAATAATTTGAAAATTGTACATCGACGTCATCCATCAACATAATCATTGTTAGCAATATTCAGCTCCCATTCATTACTCGAATACGGATGGCGAAAATGGAGTTTTGCGATTTCACAACCGCCTTGGTGGCGGTCCAAGCACGCATAGAAGGCGGGACTTGTTTACTTATGCGTGCTTGGCCGTTGTTTCCACCATTCCGGTCGTTCGTCAAGTTGGGAAGGTGGTATATTCCGGTATTCGCTGTCGACATGGCTGAAGAATCTCCGACAGCTCCCGAGGCAGATCTAGTCCAAATGTGCAAGGACCAATTCGACGTACTAGTGTCTCGTATTACGACTTCTGCATCCACCTCCCTTCTGTCTCCGGCAAATGCGGTGTGACAGCCGGCCCTTCGTCCAGACGTCCCGAGACGGAGCTAGTCCAAATGTTCAAGGACCAATACGACGAACTAGTTTCCCTAAGAACTTCCGGCTCCACCCCCCTGCTACTTCCAACAAGTTCGGCTATGATGGCCGGCCCTTCGACTAGGCCAACTTTTACTAAGCCAGGCCTTAAAAAACAATTAAACTTTAATGCGTCAGTATTAGCAGCACTGTCTCCGGCCTTAGAGTGTCTGCCAGAGGAGGGAGAGACCAAGGAATAAGGATTGCCTGCGGCGGGCAATCACGCTTTTGACTCAGCGGAATGAACTGTTAACCATCGCAGACACGGATCCCGAAGTATTCGATTTTTACGACAAGCAATCAAAAGCGGATGCGATGCAGTTAACGAACCCTATTCTCGCCACATATATCCGCGAAAAGAAGAAAAGAGAGGACAAAAAGCCGATACCGGTGAAGAGCACGGTATGGAGTGAGTTTTCAAATAAAGATGATAGTGCTATGATACCGATACCTTACGGAGCCACTTGGCAGCTATTGTACTCTAATTCAGGGGCGCGTTTTTCGCCATACCCGCGGCCCTTTCGGGTCGGAGGGGCGGCTTGGGCCCCTGCCCCTCCTCCTTTCCAGATGCTCAAGGACAAGGCCGTTTCAATTCGCACATGCAGCCCGGATATCAAGGCCGCCCCGCGATATGTGCTTCAACTGTGGGAGGTATGGCCACTATTCCCGCGAATGTCGCGAGGAGCCTAATAGGAAAGCCGAAAGCCTAATAGTGAGTTTTATGTGGGACATATCCATGACTGCCTGAGGTTTTGGAATAGCTTGAGGCCTTCCCCGTTTCTAAGAGTTTTGCTTCAAGAAGGCTATACTCCCGAATTCCTGGCTGAGCACGCATTAGGATTCATCAGAAATAACTGTAGGTCGGATTTTGGCATGAAGACTTCGTGGACTCAGAGATGGGGAGTCTCCTGCGTAGTGGAGCACTGGTCGAGGTCGCTGAGAAAGAGGAAATTAGAGTTAACCCTCTGTCTGTAGCTGAAGGGAAAAAGTTAAGACTTATATTGGACCTATCAAACCTTAACACCGTGGTGGTGAAGAGTAGTGTGAAATTCGAAGATGTTGCAAAGGTAGCTCCTTTATTGCCACCTGGCGGATTTATGGCATCATTCGATTTGAAGTCAGGGTATCACCATGTAAAAATTAATAAGCATTTTCACAAGTACTTTGGGTTCTTTTGGAAGGGTAGTTTTTACTAATTTGTGGTACTTCCATTTGGGTTATCGTCCGCCCCCATGATTTTTATTAAATTGATGAGACCCTTGTTGGGCAAGTGCCGAGCAAGCGGGATTAATGTGGCGCTGTATCTGGATGACGGGCTTATATGGTCCGATTCCGCAGACAGGTGCGAGGAGGCAGTAAGAGTAGTTAGAGAGGATTTGAGTGATGCCGGCTTCTCGACAGCCGAGGAGAAATGCTCATGGACACCGGTCCAGAGGTTGTTTTGGCTCGGTCATTATATTAACTGATGACTATGACCATGAATGTGAGTAGTGAGGGGAGGAAAAGGGCCAGAGAGTTGGCTGGAAGGGTGCTAAAGATAAAGATGATAGGTCCGTCTCTCAAGGATAGATTAAAGTGGCAAGGTACATTATCCTCGATGCACTTAATGATTCCTTCAGAGTTGAAGAGAAGTCGGAAAGCGGTGGCAACTGGGGTTGCCGAGAAAGATCGAGCGGGTACGGCATTAGCGTTCAGGTGGCCACTCACGTAAGAGGAGAGAAGAGAAATCAAAGGCTGGTTGAGTTTGACTACAGGTTTGAAGGGATACCTATCGCTGCGATTCCGGATCTATCTAACGCGCTTAAAATATTTTCGGATGCATCTGAGTTCGGGGTGGGGGCCGTTTTGCATTTGAATCTAGAGGAAAAAGTATCAGCTTCTGCCAACCTGCCCCCGGAATTGATAGAAATTTCAAATACGGTTAGAGAGCTCTATGCCATACTGTTCGGTCTGAGAGCATTCCGCAAGCATTTAGTAGATGAGGAGGCTATCTGGCACTGCGACAATCAAGCGGCTGTCGCTATTTTACGGAAAGGTACCACAAAGTCGCAACTGCAGAAGGTGGCCGAAGACATCTGGACAATTTGCGCGAGGCTTCACCTTACAGTAAAATTCTGCTGGATAGCGCGAGAATTCAATACGAAAGCCGATTTAGCTTCGCGCGCTATAGATTTTGACGAATGGAGCGTCAGGGCCGAGAAGCGCGCAGTTGCAACAGCTGTGGGGTCAGTGTACTGTAGATTTTTTACCAGTAATCTTAGCAAAAAGTGCGCCTCCTTCTTTTCTAGAGAAGCTTGTGCAGAGGCGGTTGCGGTTAACGCGTTTTCAGAAAAAGCGGTAATATGGTGGAAAAAGGAATTTGCATGGTGGGTTCCTCCGCCCAAACTGATAACCAAAACTTTCTTGTGGGCTAGGCGGCATAAAAGCAGAGGTATTTTGGGTTTTCCCATGTGGTCGTCGAATATCTTTTTTCCGAGTTTGCGGGAGGGTGATTCATGGATACCCCAAATCTTGGATATAAAGGTATTTCCAGCTGGAAGCCCGATTTTGATTGGAAACTCACCATCCTACATATTTGGCGGGGTATCGCTCAATTTTGACTTCGCCTTAGCTCTTCTCCAGTTCTAGCCCTCGAGCTTCAATCTTTCCGCTGCATTGTTGTGAATCGCAAAACAGAGGTTTTGCCGTAGAGTATCGGAGGCAAGAATGGAGTTTTGCGATTTCACAACCGCCTTGGTGGCGGTCCAAGCACGCATAGAAGGCGGGACTTGTTTACTTATGCGTGCTTGGCCGTTGTTTTCACCATTCCGGTCGTTCGTCAACTTGGGACCCACCCACCCACCCTATTAGGCGGCAGAGAGAGTCTATCTATAATAGCAATAATATCTATAATACTATCAAGTCCAATGGTGTAAGCCAGGGGTAAATCCGCTAGTTTAGCTAACTAGCTAGTAGGAGATCTTTCTGAATGTTAGGGTGCTTATAACGCATTTTTGATGTCAAAAAGTCGCTAGTTTTTCCTTTTTCCAGAGCGCTTCACCGATGCTAGGCGGATGAGAGCTGAGGAGACCGCTGAGATCGCGGTCGGGGCGGGCATGAGAAAAGTGGCCCAGCTGATTGACTCTTGTTTCGAGGGCGCGCTGGGGCCAGGGACCGTAAAGATATATAGGAGAGTGCAAAAAGAATTTTTGGATTTCATTCGAAGGTTTCGGCGCCTCCGTCTCGGTCTTACACAAGCTCAGAAATGTGTATGTAGCGCATTGAAAAGGACAGGCTCAAATCCCTTGGATGTCATGTGGCGGCGCTAGCGCACTTCTTCAGGCCCCTTCCGAGCAAAGATGAAGATATCTTACGCGCTTTACTGCGTGGGGCGAAACGAACTACACCTCCTCCAAGGCACAGGAAGAAGGCAACTCAGAAGGACGTGGATACGGTGATTGCTTGGGCTCTGCAGAAGAAATCCTTTTCTGGGGTGGCAGGAGCGGCAATGATCCTTCTCTTGTTTGCTGCCTTTCTGAGAGTGGGAGAGCTTTGCGAGATTTGCGTTTCCGACATTAGCCGGAAAGGCAATGATGTTTGGTGGCTGATTATAAGAAGGTCAAAGACTGATCAGGGTGCCCAGGGTGCAAAAGTAGCATTCCGATTAGGAGGAGAGGCTCTCATACTTTGGAGTATTCGAGAACTTACTTCCACCAAATCCGGAACAATACATTTTTGGCAGAACTTCCAAAGCGCCCTCGAGGGATGTCGTCGCTCGCCGTATCAAAGGAATCCTCGATCAAGTCAGCCTGCAAGGAAATTCACAACGCACTCCTTCAGAGGAGGCGCTGCTACAACTGCAATACGATCAGGACTCCACCCAGCAAATATCATGCGCGCGGGAAGGTGGAGATCAACGGAGGCCTTTTCCTGCTATATCGATCCCAGCCCTCTTTAAACTGTGCCTGTATTATATCCGTACCCACAGGTTTATGTTTTGTCTCCTACTTCAGACTTTGTTCTCTTTTTGTTCTGTGTCGGCATAGCCTGACTTACTCCGAAAGTATGCTTATCATCTGGTTATCGTTCTGCGGATATGTAGCTCGTGTTTTGCTTCGCTTTTGTATGGTTAACCCCTATTCCAGGTCACTGTTGCTATCTCAGGCTCATTTTACCGCATATTTACGAATTGTGATAATCAACATATGCTATGCGGAGTTTGCTCCTTCTTGTACGGAGAGTTGCGTCGAGATTTCTATGGACCGCTATCTCTTTGTTTTTTTATTTCGCTCCGCTTATCTCTTCAGGGGCAAGCGGTCTTGCTTTTCATAATTGTCAATTCGTGTCCCGGCTTTGGGAGGATCTCTGTACCATTGATTTTCGAGTGATCTGTTTCGTCTTATTTTATCCTGCTCCGCTTCATAATTGCCTCAGGGAGCAGGCTCGCACTCTGTTTATGACCACCAGATCGTTTCTCAGGACGCGAAATTACCTCTATACCATGGATTACTGATGTCATGCGCAGTTCGAGATTTTGAGCTTATCTGTACGTATCTTGTATTCCTGGCGATGTGATCTATATACGTTTCGTTCACTTTTATGCGACGATACGCTGTTGGTGCTTTGATCGTTACTATAAACTGTGTTTGGTTTACTAATGTAAATTCTGATGCATTTGGCTATATATTCTGTTCTGTTCTTTGTTCTGCCATTGGCTATATACCCTGCTTTACGCACTCCTTAATGATCGTCTGTATTCGTATTCTACGGCCGAGGCTGCAATCTTTTCGTACAATGAGCATTTACGTATACACTTTGTGCTACATGGTTTCGTGCCAAGGCTCGGCACGAGCTGGCACCAGGAAATTTTGAAAACGAAGTTTCCCTTGACTTTTCCAAAATTTTACGAAGTCCCCTTTGACCTGTTTTGAAGACCCGCCATTTTTTTGGATACTGTAAGGCCCGTATGCACGTACATCCCCGCGGGGAGGGGAGGGGATCTGAGAGGGGAAGCGCCATATCTCGCTCTGTAGATATCTTTCTTCCTTCTTCTCCATCTTGCTTATAAAGGTTCTCATAACCTTATACCTGCGCATAACGGATGCCAGGTTACTGCTATACAAAATTAAATATTCACTATTTCTTTCGATCCCCTGGGGATCCCCAAGGGATCATCTCACATTCTCAAAGTCATACAGAAGAAATGGAATCTGAAGATTTTGATTTTTTCGCTAATCCTGGCTCGCGAGCCGTGGTTCATCGAAGATTTTGATATCCTGAGATTTCACTCATTTCTACCATAAACATGTTTAGCAGTGCTGTAGTATATCCTCAGTACAATTTTAGAGCATTTTCATCGAGTTTTCAGGAAGATAAATAACTTTGAAAATGTGAGGTGATCCCCTGGGGATCCTCAGGGGATCAGACGAAATAGTGAATATCTAATCGTGTATGGCAGTAACCTGGCATCCCTTATGCGTAGGTATCGGTGTATGAGAAGCTTCAGAAGCAAAACAGAGAAAGAAGAAGAAAGATACATAGACTAGCGAGATATGACGCTTTCCCAATCAGATCCCCTCCCCTCCCCGCGGGGATGTACGTGCATACGGGCCTAAGACTACGTAACAAGGTTCTAACGCATGCTGATTTCATTGAACAAATTCCATGAGTTTTCTGAGCTTTTCAAATGATTAGCACATTCTCAATTCTTGCCTTATTTAGTTCCTCCTGGTTGTTCTTCGATAAACCCATTCAGATCAAACTCAAAAACTCAAATTATATGTTCTTCTGACAATGCAAATAAAAAATGCTAACACCGTTAGGAGAACAAGATGATCTCATAATTTATTTGTTTCCATAATTGAAATTGACTCCATGCCGCAATTGATGGATATGATGGGAGGAGAGCTTCTTACTCTTCATCTGTGAGAACCTTATGAGCATAATTATGTCAGCGATTTATGAAGATGTAGGAAAGTAGCAGACAGAAAAGCAGAACCGTGACATGACTGGAGAAGTGACACATTACCAAATAATGTTGCGAAAAGAAACTGCAAGAGACAAACTTATCATGAAATGGATAATAAATCCGAAAAAGTCATAGAATAGCTCAGCAAGAAGGAAGCAGGAAAAAATCAAATCTCACCTTTCTACCATCACCTTTGGTGGTGCAGCTACGCTCAGTTTGCTGATAAGTTTCGAAGAAACTTTAGCAGGAAACTCCAACTGTTTTGCCCTGGCTGCTTCAGCGAATGGTTTTCCGTACTTGATTGTCAGTTGATCGCTTACGGTCTGCAAACAAACACAATATTTGAAGCACTGAAAATAAGTTGGACCTACCTTAAATTCCTGGATGTCATTGGCAAGTCTTGGGGCTGCCCACATGATGCTGATAACAGCTTCAGCAATACCTCCATCAAGTGTTCTGAACAGAAATTATACTTCTGAGTTATATTGGATTGGACGTGTCTTACTTCATTTGTTCAATCAATCCAAATCTGGCGAGTAGAAGATCGCAGTACATCTCCAGTATTTCGAATGCTTCAACCAAGAAATCCTCGCAAATAATGTGCTCCACCCGTATTCGAGCCCGATCGGCCTTATTTACTGTAAAAAACAATGAGATTTAGTTCCGAAGCACAAACTGGTTTGCTATTCAAGTGTTACGCTGGAGGGATTAGTCCCTAGAACATATGGAAAAACACTGAATGAGTATATATGCCTTAAAGTGGGTAGTCTACACTCCCTTGGATTCAGTTTTGTTTCTGAAACAAGCATAACAGATGACAGAAAGTAGTTTTGGATCCAAGCTCGATTGCAAGAGAAGAACCGATCTTATCAACAGTGTGCTCCGGGATAAATTGGCATATTACGCGATATGTTGAGCAAAACTATGTGAGACGTACAGATAATTTCCTCCTCAAAATAATTTCACTGCGCCATAAGCGATTAAAAAAATAATAAGGTTTTAAGGAGAAAAACCAACCGACAATACTGATAAATACCACATCAAAAAAATCTAAGACTTACATGCTATATATTCAGCAATCTCCGTACGTGCCTTCATTGCCATTTCCGTCTTCTTCTTGCCCATCACTTTCAAAAAGTTGATTGCAAGTTGAAGATTTCTCTTCAACTTCGGATACTGAGCTCCCCAGCTTGTTGACATTTTGCTGGAATGAATATATATTAGGAGAATCAAAGAAAAAACTTACTTACTTAGATACTTAGATGGCCCGTCCTCACGTGAGGTGCGGGCCCCAGTACAGAAGTTGCCATTTTTGCCTGTCCCTCGCTTCAGACATCCACGATCTTTTTGGCCGTCGTCGGTGGTCTTCCTCGAGGACGTTTGGTTTCGCGAGGAATCCACTCAGATGTTCTCAGAAAAAACATATGTAAAATGTACGAGCAACGGAAACAGTAAAACAAAAGATTTGCACGAGTAACAAACAACAAAATAGTACTTGCTTTGTAACTGAACAGAAACAGAGCCACGCTTAATATTAGAAACCACAAATTATTGTTGAAATAAAGCTTATCCTCATACAAGACTCAAATACTGACAAGGGAACCGTGTCGAGTTGAAGTGGCCTTTCCAGATGAGACCCATACTGCTTTGAAGGGTATCAAGCGATGATTCCAAATCTGCCTTCCAAATCTGCCAAGCGCCTCTGGACGCCGAGTTATGACCGTTCTTCGGAACGAAAAATGAATGCAGAATTTAGGTAAAATTGATTGTTACAATCTTTCCAGCGCTCAGATAAAGCAATGTTAAGTATTAGCATATTGAATAAAATGTATCCATTGCATAAACAGCTCTGATACTTGACACTGGACCATGTGAGCAAATTTGGGCGATTTTGCTTCAGTTTTGCGTTCAATTTTTTGACCAAACGTGCATAACTCGGTGTCCAGAGGCGCTTGGCAGATTTGGAAAGCAGAATTGGAATCACCGATTAATGCTCTTCAAAGCAGTATGGGTCTCATCTGTAAAGGCCACTTCGACTCGACACGGTTCCCTTGTGAGTTGAGGAAGTGACGAAATGAAATCGGCAAACTTCGCGCTGCATTTGTTTAGGGCGCGCTTTGTGATTGGAGCAGATTACTCGACTACGAAGAAGATCGAGAAGTTTTAGATGGCTATAAAACGCCGAAAGATAACATTATGAAGTGTTTTTTTCACCGTATGTAAAATTTTACACTGTAGATAAATTTTATGTAGAAAAATATGAAAATTTTTGTGGGCAAAGGGCCGGTGCCAGCTCAGCTGGCACCCAGCTGGCACGGTGCCAGCTAATTCAGAAAAAAGTTGGGCACAGCTTCCATTCACATAAGTTTTCATAGATTTTCAGGCCGTAGTTCGAGTCCCCCAACCCGCATGTACACACCAAATTTGGTGTCATATGATTGCGTTTTGTTTGTAAATAAAGCCTTTGTTTGTTTTCGGCACATTTTGAATTCCCGCCGCTGGCATGCAGCCGGCATGTCGCCGCCGGCATGTCAGTGCCATGCCAGCGGCTAAATTTAGATTTAGCATGCCGCCTGCATTTTTGTCCTTACCTCGTTTGTGTTGCATATTTCTGCAGTCTTCTTGATCTTATGGAGCGGAATAAGCGGAAGTATTGCGGAAGCAATCAAAACCTGCAATTTTTTCCGGGGCTCTGCCCCGGACCCCGGAAAAACGATATCCCCTTTGCTTTCGGCCCTAAAAACAATATCCAGCTTGACCCGGTGCCAGCTGCGCCGAGCCTTGCATCGTGCTTATGTCATGGTACGTACTTTATGTTGGCGGGAACTTTTCCCTACGGTAATCTGTTGACGAATGAACTTTCCGCTGCGTTGTTGTGAATCGCAAAACAGAGGTTTTGCCGTAGAGTATCGGAGGGAAAATGATTAGTTACTCGCGAACTCCCGCCAGTCCAATTTCCGCCTAAACTGAGTTGAAACTTACTGTATGCG